GCGCGAATGGTTATCTTTTCATTCGAATTAAGCATTTTGTTCAGTAGGTGTTGAAGCAGATAAAGGTCAGCGGAGATCCTCTCCTTCGGGGTAGTAGCATCCAACTCCGATAGACCCTGGACGAATACGCAGTGCTGACGATCAAGGGGTTCATTTTGTCTGTTTCCGGTGGCCTTGTCAGCTGAAGGTCTCAGAAGATCCACCGGAGTCGTCTGGGGTTCTATACTCCCGTTGTGGCGCTTACGCTTTCCATCTTGCCATGAGCTTGTTTCCTCACTTCCAACTGAGAGTCCTATTGAACACGCGGAATGGCTGAGAGAAGTTGATGGCTCGCTTGGGTCGTCTCCCATTGAAACAAGAGACTCCGTTGCTATTTTCCCATCGTCCTGGGTATTGGCGCTCTTGCACAGAGCTTTTCCACATGCTTTGTTCTTTGGCTGTTTTAGAGTTTTGCTCTTTCCCTTTTTCTTGCTAACTTTAGCGCTATTCACCGCGTTTTGCACACTATCGTTCGCTTGCACGAGTTCCCTTAAAGCAGTCAACTATTTTTCGAGTTTTTGGACTTTCAGCAGAATAAATGAGCATCCAGTGCACGGCTCGTCCTCGTAACTAACAGGTTTTGCTGTGATAACGCTTTTAGCGCGCTTTGCGGGCCCCTGGTTGCAACTATAAAGAGAGCGAGCGCTAATCCTAGGTGGTAAGGCCTTCTCAATATACTTTCCTTCATACATAGTGTCGTTTGTACTACGAATAATGTTTACTCCCTTATTTATTTCAGTCTGTTGGCCGTGCGCCGATAGTCTAGCGGTCATCTCGCTGTTCACCCTACGACTGGACAAGGGGTTCGAATCCCACTTGCGGCGAGTTTTTCGCACATTGTCCTGATGGTGTTTTGTCGACTCCCATTATTAATTCAAACGATACGGAAGGGATTCTAGGTATGGGCTAAGTATTTAAAGGTGTAGGAGAAGCTTTTTAACCAAGCCAAAAATATGAAGTAAATATCAAACGACTCAGCCGCTTCTGGATCTGGAGAACCCCGCGGTGCCGTTGGCAAAGAATTGATACAAAGGAGTATGGTCGTCCCAAAGAAAGTTCTGTCGGAGTTCTGAGTGGATCGTTCGAGGAATTGCTGATTAAGCTTCAATTTCTTAATCCAAATGGGCCCGCAGAGCGTCCAGTAGGCTGAAATCCCGGAAAAGCAAATCCCTCAGAGGTCGAAATTTCAAACCGAATTCGAAAGGCGCGCTGAGTGGGTTTTATGGCTTCGGAGGTCCTTCCACAAATATGGGATATTATTCGGAATTCTGCATACCAACAGTGCTTTGTGATCCGAAATCAAGAACATCCGATTTCTTCGGGTGTTCGAGAGCCTCCCTGACAATCTGAATACTGAATGTTAGCATTTACCCGCTTTCTCCCAGTTGGTGTGCGTGAAGACAGTTAATGGTTAGGATGACCAGGTAATTCGTTAATAAGCGGGTTCTTCAGATGTTTTCGGATATTTTTTTGCCCCTTTCCATTCTTATAGCATAGCTTAGGTCGTGTATACCTGTCTAAGTTGGCCATTTGTAGAAAATCCCTCTGTAAAACCACGAGCACTGAATTATGCCTCAGAATTTTGTACGATTATGGCTTTTTCGGACAGTAGCGGATTGTGTGGTAAACTACCTCTTAAGTAAGATAAGTCGTCTAGTGAAGTCAGCTAAAGTTAAGCCGTAAGTAGTGTACGTGTCCATTGACCACGCAGTTTACCTCAGTCCTCCCTGACTGGTTAGCGTTCCTTGATTGTTTGGGAATTTGCAATAACTGAGGCTCCGTTCTACTCCAGTAAGGTCGAGGGAAGTCATTCTCTCGTATAGGGCTTCCTGTCAGGCATTGATCGTAAGCAACCTCATCATGGATATTTAATAGCCCCTGCTAATCTGTCCACAAATTCGTTAGATAATCTCATGTTATCTGCCGTAACCCCGGCTATCATAAGGAGTGCTACCTCTGCATAATGCGTCCCTGAATCACGATCTTTGCTCAGCAGGGATCGTGTGAATTAATTCTCTCGCACTCGCGACGCACCCCGATCCTTTCCTGGACTGAGCGCTCCAAACTTCTATGACGCATGTCCTTGGGCAGATAATGGTTTTGACTTCCACTTATACGCCTACACTGTGCAATAATTATTGCCACATTTAATTTTCTTCCTGTCGGGCTAGTTACAAACCTGCGCGGACTATCACTTTTCATGGTTTTAGAGCAGCCGTATGACTTGTCTTCAGGAAGCTAGTTTACTTCTTCGTTATGCCATTGAAGATGAATATATTGTCGTCCTGTCGCCGAGTCCATGGTCTTTGCTCAAGGGCGCCGAATGATCATGACTCAGTATTGTGTAGACGCGGCTCGAAATTCCTCCCACCAGATTTACATGGACAGCCAGGTATAGACGGCATTACAAGCGGCCCGAAACAACTATTTAGAAACTGCGTAAGAGCATTTTATATTAGTTGTTCAAGCATGTACTGCTACATTTTAGCACAACTTCAAAAAATGATCAACAGGCCCGCTCCACCAGATCACTGGATTAGTCGACGTAGCAGTGGCTAATTTCAAAGCACTGTCTGCCTCCTTCCAGATGAATAGGGTTTAAAAAGCTCTTTAGCTCCGGAGTTAACGATCGCATAATTATGACCGGCTTCCGCTTTTCTCCTTTACTGCGACTTCACTGCAAACGCAAGCCTTCAGCCAGAAACAAGGCCGTGCTACTTGAAGCACTTAACTTAAGCTGCATCGCCGCAGGCTTTAGAATGAAACTCTTTTGATGACCGCCGGTATATTCTGAAGTTCATCTGTCCTTTACTTAGGCTCTCACTATATCCAAATTTTTCATGCCCGTGTACGTTGTGTACTAGACAGATGTAGGCTGCGAAATTCAGTTCTGAGTTGTTTATCCCCATAAGCAAAAGGCACTTAAAACGGCGTGGGGTACCAACACGAGGACCCTTTATCATTTAACAGGAGAGCCAAAAAGATCTGGTAGACGTTGTTCGGTGGAGACAGTATTTTGTTCGTGATGGCCTAGTCAACCGGTGCGATCAAGCCCCATCTGATTGTGATCATCTGGGAAGATCGAACCCTGTTCTATTACGGCAACACGCTTGAAAGGCACGTCCGAAAACGTTTGGTAACATTTTAGCCTACCCCTGCCAATCGCCTATCACTAAACCAAGTCGGCAGACGACAATACCTCGAACCGACTCTTTGCTTTGACAGATACGTAGCAGAAGGCTGGAATCGATACCGTTCTCAAGGCTGGTTCGATCAGAGATTATTACAACCGTACCGAATACCCAGCTGAGACACCGCCTCGGGAATGGGGCTATAGTACCAGCACAATTGAGGCTTTTAGTCACAGTCTTCACAATGTTCATTCAAACGATTTATTATCCGACCGGTCCAGTTGTATAGCACTAGATATGTGGATTGCATCTTTAGAATGCCTGGAGACCTTTGACGACTTTGATTTCTCTCAAAGTGACCCCAACTAGTAAAGCAATTCTCATTGTCATGGTGAGACGAAACCGACTAACAACCTAGAACAGTATGTTGAAAAGTTAAAGAGTTATTGTTATGGTGTGGTGTTTTCTAGTTTCTGGCGGATTCTGGTTAGACCGATTTCGCGCCCACGTACTCGAAACTTCTTATTCACCGGTAGTGGACTCCGTTAGCTGGCTCCATGGACACAGTCCTGGAGTCGTTCCTGTTTTTTCCACTGCCGATGCCGGCATTTCTTCATAGTAGTCCTTGTGACGAGGTCATCCTGAAGGTGAAATAGTGGAAATGCATGTGCAGACAAAATAGTCCATGAATTTGTAAATTCAATGGTCAGGCCTCTGTAACCGTTTTCCACTAAGCAGGCTATGGAGAGGGGCAGTTCGAAGACTTGCTATTCACCCGCCATCCGTCAAATTGAATTGTCCTGGTCGTATATTGCACCCATCTGAAGGAAAAATTGTCCTGGATGTTAACTTGCTCTGGTTGGCATCAGCAACGAAGTGGCCAACTGAAGGTACAGATGGACGTACTGTATGCCGGTTTTGAGTGTATCTCTGGTCCCATGGTCTTTGACATGGCAAATCGCCCAGCTTCACACGTGAGTTCGCTAGTAACCACTTGCAGTGGTAGCCGATCATTCTTAATGCCGTGATCCCGGGGTGTATAACCGACTGAAACCGTAATAACTCAGGTCATCACAGGCAAGACACAGACATCAACCGTTGGCGACTACAAAATACCCCTGATCCTTATTTACTGACAGCAATACAAGTTGCGGTGCATCTGACAGCTTTTGATCAGACGATACTCGGTTGCTGACCTGATTCACTCCAGTAATCAGAGTCGGCTCAGGAACAAATCTGATTAGTACAATTGCACCGGCCATCCAGGAAGAGCGATCACCCCAGCTCCATGAATCCTTTATCCCCATTAAACGCGACTTTGCCGAGGGAAATGGCCCAGAAAGACACATTACACTGCATGTTTCTTCTATTTAGATTTATTCTAAGCTACTATGATCAACTTTTTCGTTGTGCATTAAATCCGCCCATAGACGAACTTCGGGACCTTCTGAAACCGCATTATTTTTTTTGAGGGTTGGGAGGGGGGGACGGGCTAACGCCATGATTGAGCGGGATGGAGAAGCGTTATTTAATTTCTACTCAGTTGATTTCCTCCTGTTCTTAGTAAGGTCTCATTCTGCACGCAGTACTGCAGTACGTGTGACACAGACTCAACTGGTTGTTTGGAAAGTCATTAGCGAACATAAATTAGTAGGTTGAATACTGACACTGAACCCAGCTGTCGTAAAGTCTACAAAGCTACAAATATGGGTCTTACAAACCATTCTCTTAGTTGCAGTATCTTCTGTGGCATCAGGCTTCGATCCTGGTAACGTGTTCTCATGAGCGCCTTCTTACCATGTCTTCGAAACCTTTCAGAAGTTTGGAGGCAAGGATTTCTGTCGTACTGTTGATGCATTGACCCTTCCCGGCGGTTGTTCCAAATTGTCCTATCACCCTTCTCAATGAACGAAGCAAGGCCGCGCCACACCTGTCTTAGAGAACCACGACAAGCGTGCACAGCTTGTGGAGAATGAGATGGTCAGGCTGTTAAATCCTGCTAATCCCCTTGTGATTGTGTTGTGACTCCTCTCAGAAGCCATAGGCGACTTCGTACCAGCCTTCGTTGCTGGAGGCGCCTCGATTCCTTAATAAGAGCGTGCTTTGTTACCCCGTTGGGTGCTAAACTTCTTGGTAGACCTAAATTCCAGATTTTAGTCCACGGCTTTTATTTTCCGCGAACTGTCTGTTCGCACCCTGATATTCACCACTGTCGTCAGTCATCAGGTGCATGAGGTTGTGTGTGAATCTGATACAAGTTCGTCCCTCAACCCTATTTCATCTTGTTTTCGGACTGCAATGGGCGGCGGTGAGTTCTGGTCGTATTCTAACATTAAACTCCTGTGCTGTCTCTGTAGGCCACCGGCCGCGAACCCAGTAATCAGTTGCTCACTATACTGCCATACCATTTCGAATCCGCAGCTGCCTATTCGCCAGATTTTCGCCCGCTTATTCGCTGTGATCCCGACCACTGAAGAAAGATCTCACTGTCCGCTGCGTGTTACGTGCTGCTTAGTGACATCAGGATTTGCAAAAAAACCCCGTCTTCTCGACGTTAGTAATGACCGAAGCCCACCAACTCGCCGGTTGGGTATAATTATAAACGGCCTCGTAAAATGTTCAGTCTGATTCCATATAGTCTTTATATGTAATCTAATAGCCTAATTCACATTGACACGACATTGAGGATTGTAATAGTCTGACTACGTAATCCCGACATTTAAACAGTCCACTTTCAATGTCCAAGTACTGTTATTCATGTCGCTCCTATGCCAAAGCATTGCTTTTGCCTGGTTATCTCCAAAGCATCATCATCATAGACAGCATATACAGCATGCTGGTAATGTCAACAAGAAGGCTCCAGTGAACGCGGTGGAGAAGAACTGCTCTTCGTGATGTCCATGCCGTCTATCTCATTGGGATCGGATACCTGTAATTGCATGATGCTGAGGCGCACCCATCAAATATAACTTGAGGAAGGATAACTCGCATATCTTCCATATTTTATTTAAGAACTGATGAAATTTGCGCGTGTTTGCTGCCTTTACAAGAATTTTTTTGTTTCCTTCTGCCATCCTAGACGTGGTCGAGATCGATCACCCTATTATTCCTCTAGGCGACGTACGTCGCGCACCCCAGATCGTCATCGTCGAAGCCGACATCATCGATCTGGCAGGTCACACTCCCGCAGCCGATCTCGTTCCCGGAGTCCCCGAAGTCATCATCACCACTCCTCGAGCAGCAGCAGCACACTCCATGCTCTCAGCTCCTCCACATCCCTTGCTTCTCTCCTCGCAGCGCAGAAGGCAGAGACTGCCTCCTCTTCCTCAGCAACCACAACATCAACCACTGTTGTCAGTGCTGCATCCCGCTCTAGTGAGATATCAGCCGTAGCTACTGCTGCGCTCTCACAGATCAAAGCTGCTCAGGCTCGGTCAGCAGCAGCGGCAGCGGCCAATGAACCAATCTCTTCCCTCGAGGGTGCCATCCGCCTAGACGGTGTGCTCGACAAGGATGCCGAACAAAAGCGCCTGGACTTGGAAATGCAAAAGGCATGACGCTCTCTGACCCTCTGCCATAGTTTGCCTACTAACGGGTCATCTTGTTGTCTTTCCTTCGTAGCACTGAACTTCTTTAGTTTTTGCGCTTTTAAAATTGTCTCCCACACATTAATTTCTTATGACCGTCATTGCAGCACACTCACCGTTTTGCTTTTCCTGACTGGTTTATGTTCAGCGACGTGAAAGAATTGAAAGGTGGAGGAGGGAAAAACGGCTGAAGTTAGACGTGGCCACAGCACACAGCAAACTGCTGGACGGCATCAAGGTGCGTACCGGCAAGAAGTGGACTTTGGAGGATGAGGAAGAGGAGGAGGAAGACAATGCACCACCACCACCGACTGAGGCTCCTGAGGGTGGAAGCACACAGAAGGAGGATGAGGATGAAATTGATCCTCTGGATGCCTATATGCAGGTGGGTGGACTGATTTCATCTCCCTCATTTGGCCTTGCCACTGGGGTTGCCTGATTTGGTAGGCAAACTTAACTGTCGAATAATTCTGGCTGCGACCTACAGCGCACAGATGAGTCATTAGTTCGATGGACACGTGACTCCAGATGAGAATTTCCGATCTTACTGGTCGCGGGGTGGGGCATGGCCGACTGACGACAAGAAAATTGTCGGAAATTGTCCCGTCTTCCTTTAAAAAATTCTTTTTTTCGTACCAGCGGACCTTTGAACACAACCATTGAAGGACCCCCCGAGAGCTTCAGCTCATTCCTGACTCCATAGACACCAGGTGGAGGACTGAGTTCAGTGCTCAACTCCGGCCGAGTAAAAAATCTAATCAACCCAGTTTTCGGTGCTCGTCCGTTGCTAGCTGGCGTAATTGAATCTATCTATGTGAGCGAGAGGGAAGAGAGATTTTAGCCGACCCTACGCGACATTTTCCTACTGCAACAAGTACGAGTAGTTTTTGTGTTATCACGGCGAATTAAAAGTCATAACTTGAAAGGTTACCAACCGAGTTTCGCCGGCTGAAAGTCGAATTGTAACGCCTCAGCAATGTAGTCTGCCCATTCAAAGGGCTAATAAAGTTTGTTCTTGTGGATTGAGAAACAAGCAGATGCGTAACAGGCATCAAAAAGGACGAATGCCTAGTCATTGTCCACACCCGTCTCCATTCGTCCTTCCCTTGCTTTGCCATTGTCAGGCCGTGAAGTATGAAACAAGAGGGAGGACGATACGATATAAATAAACGCTGTCTTGACACGTAGCGATGGTCCTTATTAAGAGGGACTAAAAAATTGCAATATTAGTTGTCGCATTTTCACCACCGGCCGGGTCTTAATTTTGGTGATTTTGTACGGGTTCCAGATTGGTAGGCGCGTAAGATACGGCTCCTGAATCTTTCTAAAGCTCTGGAATCAGTACACATCAGAATTCCTCCATATACACAGTCCAAGCGGTTTTTGCGTAAGCAGCATGTTATATCATACTTAACAGCACAGGTGACAGTTCGACCATCGATTTCGATGATGTCCACCGTGTGCCCCACAGCAGGTTGGAGCAGGGACGGTGACTTGCGCAGGGGTTTATAGTGCCAGTAGACTTGCGCTGCATCTACCTACACTCTCTCCACCTCCCTCGCCCGAGCCCGGTGTCAAGACAGAGTCAAGAAGACCGGAGACGAGGGAGGCCGCAGGTGGATGGCTCGGACGGATCCTCACCTTGGCGTTCCACCACACCCCCTGGTCCACACAACAATAACCAGGAGAAGAAGAAGAAAATTAGAAGAAGAAGAAAATTGGCTCTCCGGAACAGGTTTATTTAACTGCTGACGTTTCAAAGAGCTGGGTCGGCTCTTCATTGTCAAAGCGTAAACTGCACCTAATCGATCAGAAAGTTAACTTAAAGTGGCAAGCTGTGTTCGCCGGCCTCATGCTGATCGATTTTTCTCTCTCCTCACGCTGCGTCGGCCTCTCAGGAAATGGTTAACGGGCGTTTTTGCCTGTGCGCTTAAGAAGACTTAAGAAGACAGCACGGAGATAGCCCGACGCTGAGCTTACTCGGTGAGGAAGAACAAGAACCGCCAGACCGACCGCCCGACTAAAGTCTAATCAGCTCCCCTCGACGGAGTGGTGACTCATAAAGCGCACAGGCAAAAACGCCCGTTAACCATTTCCTGAGAGGCCGACGCAGCGTGAGGAGAGAGAAAAATCGATCAGCATGAGGCCGGCGAACACAGCTTGCCACTTTAAGTTAACTTTCTGATCGATTAGGTGCAGTTTACGCTTTGACAATGAAGAGCCGACCCAGCTCTTTGAAACGTCAGCAGTTAAATAAACCTGTTCCGGAGAGCCAATTTTCTTCTTCTAATAATCTTCCCGGATCTCTAAACTTTTCCAATCTGAATAACCAGGATTTCAACCAACACAACAGAGATTTGGAGGCTGGCACGGCCGAAGCCGCACCTAGGCGTGCCGCCAACGCCTGGCTCGGATCCCACACTGTGGTGGGAGTGCCATAAAGGCCACATTAAAAAGGAGCCATTGCAGCCTGACTCTCAGACCGCCTCCCGTTAAGGAGGAGGTCCAAGGTACCCCGTCAGTTGGCAACCTTCCAAGCCACGGCTTTTAGCGCACCGTGATAGCTTCAAGCGCGTCAGATTGATTATAGTGAGGAAAAAGTGCGCTGAGTCGTCGACCTCACTCTCCCTTCCCATTCCCACACTCCAGCCGCCGTCCGAGCCGGTGGGCAAACTGGAGTGGTGGATGGGCGCGGTGGCTGCCACGGTCGACTGACCGTGACTGCGCGCGCCACAGCACGACCTGGCCCCCCATACACACACAAACACCAGGATTTCACACAACGGGGGTTGAACGGCGTGTCTCTCACTTGCGTGAGAGGGCCGTGGAAGGTGCTGCTTCAGCCCGTCCCCAGCCCACCAGTCCGCCACTCCACACAGCACACACACACAACGCGACGAACTGCGTGAACCGAGAGCGGGCGTCAATCAGCAACCTACCTATCCACGACACTTGAAGTGTCGGGATAGTCTCGGACTCAAATCACCCGTACAGCCGAAGCCGCGTGGGAACCGAAACGAGATGCACACTTCCCACTTGCGTGGAAGGTGGCAGTTGGTGCATGCGGTGGGTAAGTGTTGATGTGTGTTGGTGATGGTGGAGGAGGGTAGGGAGTGTGTGGATGTGTGGTGTAACCGGCGGTTGTCTACCGCAGGTCGTCGTGGATGCGCATGTGGCCGAATAGGCCCATGCGGTGCCTGAAAGTGCGAGGACAGTGTGGACAGTTGAGACGAGCTTGGTGGGTGTAGGTTGGTGCTCCAGGCACTGGTTCTCCGGTCTCTGTGCGATGGATTCGCAAGTGACCGACCAGGCCGATGCGTGAGGTGAGTGTGCGTGGACAGTGTGGGCACGTGAAGTCGGCGGTGTCAGAATCAGCTACAGAGGAGGCGTTGGTGGTGGCGCAGATGGACGGTGCGAGGGTGGTGCTGGGCGTGGTTTGTGTGTCGGAATTGTGGTCGATTCCGCTCTCGTGGATGCGCATGTGGCCGAATAGACCCATGCGATGCGTGAAGGTGCGAGGGCAGTGTGGGCAGTGGAGGCGCGTGCGGTGGGTGTAGGTTGGTGCTTCAGGCACTGATTCGCCGGTCTCTGTGCGATGGATTCGCAAGTGACCGACCAGGCCGATGTGTGAGGTGAAGGTGCGGTCGCAGTGAGGACAGGTGTAGTCCTGATTCTCATTGCTGGAGTCAGGAGAGGCGGGGGTGGTGCCGGTTGTTGTGTCGCGGTCGGAGATGTGCGAAGGCAGAGAACATAAGACTGAAGAGGGTTGGTGCCAGCACGCATCCCTGTTTCACTCCGTTAATCACTGCGAATGCCTCTGAGACAGCTTCGTTGTCCGTGACTCGCGCCATCATACCGTCGTGCAGCTGACGCACCATCTGAGTGAATCGCTCTGGACAGCCGAATTTCTGCATGATCTTCCACAGTCCTTCACGATTCACCGTGTCGAAGGCTTTGGTCAGGTCCACGAAGGTAGAGTACAGGTGGGTCCGCATCTCCTGACACTTCTCCTGAAGTTGGCGGGCGGCGAAGATCATATCCGTGGTCCCACGATGACGACGGAAGCCGCACTGGCTTTCCGGCAGAAGGCGCTGTTCCAGGTGGTTATTGAGGCGGTTGAGAAGGATGCGAGCGAAGATCTTCCCGGCGATGTTCAGCAAGGAGATGCCACGGTGATTGTCGCAGACTTGGCGATTCCCTTTTCGCTTGTATAGGTGCACGATTGTTGCGTCCTTGAAATCTTGCGGGACTTCACCTTGACGCCACATCTCCTGGAAGAGCGCAGTCAGGTGATCCATGAGTTGGGGACCTCCGTGCTTGTAGACCTCAGTAGGGATTGCGTCCGATCCGGGTGCTTTCCCGCTGGAGAGCTGCTGCACGGCCCTGACGATTTCCTGGAGAGATGGCGGGAGGTCTAGGTCCGCGTTGGTCTCGATTTGCGGCAAACGCGTGATGGCGGCGTCGGAGATGGCGGAAGGGCGGTTTAGGACGCCTCGGAAATGCTCGGCCCATCGCTGAAGGATTTGCGTCTTCTCAGTCAGGAGAGTACTGCCGTCGGCGCTGAGGAGAGGAGCAGTGCCCTTTGTCGGCGGACCGTAGACAGCTTTGATCACAGAGAAGAAGTTCTTCCATTCGTTGCGGTCCGCGTAGCCTTGAAACTCCTCAGCTTTGCGAGCAGTCCAGGCGTCCTGCATCTCGCGCAGTCGCTGCTGGAGGTGGCGGCGACTGCGGTAGAAAGCAGCTTTGTTGTCGTCAGTGGGGTGATCGACGTAGGCTTTGTGTAGGCGGTTCTTCTCAGCAAGCAGATTTCTGATGGCGGCGTCGTTGTCGTCGAACCAGTCCTGGTGTTGGCGGGGAGCGCGACCGAGGACGGTGAGCGCCGTCGCCTGGACCGTGTCTCGCAGTTGACACCAGCGGTTCTCCACGGAGGCGTTTTCGGCAGCGGCGGCATCGGCGATGGGGAGGTTGTCTAGCCGTTGAGCTAGCTCATTGCTGAAATGGAGATGGTGAGCGGGCAAGGACAACAAGGCAACATTCAACTTACCTGGGGGTCGCTTACCTTGAGGTCTCCTGCGAGGCTGTAGGCGAAGACGCATCTTCGAGATGACGAGGCGATGGTCGGTCCACCCGTCAGCACCCGCGATCGCCTTCGTCACCAGCACGTCCCGCTGGTCACGCCTTCGGACGAGGACATAGTCCAGCAGGTGCCACTGACGCGACCGAGGATGCCTCCAAGTGGCCTTCTCTCGCTCCGGCAGACAGAAGAACGTGTTTGTCAGGATAAGGCGGTGTTCTGCGCAGGTGCGGAGCAGCAGCAGACCATTGTCGTTTGAGCCGCGGAGACCGTGGGGACCCAGCACTCCTCTCCAGGCAGTATGGTCTGTGCCGACGCGGGCGTTGAAGTCGCCAAGGACAACCAACTTGTCCGCCATCGGCACAGTCGCCAAGAGGGCGTGCAGGTCCTCGTAGAATTTGTCTCTGACGGCGTCGGGGTTGGTCATGGTCGGAGCGTAGGCGCTGATGATGGTGGCGAATTGGCGCCCCCGCCGGAGAGGCAGGCGGAGGCTCATCAGACGATCGTTGATGCCCTGCGGCAAACAGGGCAGTCGTCCCACGATGTCGTTCCGAATGGCGAAGGCGACACCCGCGTCCCGTCGCTCTGCCCTGGGTCGACCGCTCCAGAAGAAGGTGTAGCCGGCACCCACCTCCTCCAGTTGGCCTTGTTCGGAGAATCGGGTCTCGCTGAGTGCGGCGATGTCCACCTTGTAGCGCGCCAGTTCTCGTGCCACTAACGCTGTCCTCCTTTCCGGTCGGTTGCTCCGCGGATTGTCTAAAAGGGAACGAACATTCCAGGCTGCCAGAGTGAGCGGACTCACCCTGCCAGTCTGGTGACGACGAGTGGGGCGACGGCACAGGTACTAGCTAAAAGTCCAGACGCGTGTCTCGCCGATATTCTGCCGCCGCATGACACAACTATAAGAGGGTTCGGTTCATCACTGGGTTCCCCGGCGTACCCTGTATGCTGTTCTGGTAGATACTCCAGTTATGGAATTTAATTTCCTCAGGAATTAATCGTTAAATTGTAGTAAATCAGTCCATTTGGGAGTTAAAAGTGCTGGCTGAAACTTAACATGAATATTTGGCTGAAGTCCTTCAGCCACGGCGGATTAACTGCGTAATATTCATAAGCTGCCAACTGGGTGCCAGTAGTATATACATAGAAGGCACGCTATACCATACTGACAGCACAGGTACTAGTTAAAAGCCCAGCCACGTGTTTGGCCGATAGTAGCTTTGTCGTACAGCAAGGAGATGAGGATAGCCCTTGGAGTTTTTGACTAAGTTCGTCCATCGAGTGGCACCGAGCTCATAAGTGCCGGGAATGGATGCATGACTAACTTGCCCTTCCAGCCTTCGATTGGAAGAAAGCCTACCTGAGAACCCAAGCACACACTGCCCTGACTTTTTGGAGAATTCACTGCTGCCACGACATATGAACTACATTTCGCACAGAGATGGGGGGGGGGGTGTTGGGAGGGCTTGCATGTTTAGAATACAGAACTGCAAGTAACAGGTGAAATTCGACCCTCCATGCTGCGCATCTGCCAGTACAGTTTACAGTGGAGCTCCAAGTTCCGAATAATAACCTAATCTTTGGCGGGGTTCCTGCGGTCATCTTCCTTGGAATTCTGGATAACTTGAATCCGAGTTGAAAGCATGAATAATCCACCTCGCTGATATTTTCTTGCAAATGTTTAATTGTACACGCTAGCCTTCTGCAGGCGACTGATTTGATGTTTTTTCGTTTGCAAAAAAAACTTGTATCAAACAGGAAGTAAACAAGGAGGCCCAGCGTCTTATCGAACCAACGGGTGAGACAACAGTTGCCCCACAGGCCGCCCCCATCGTCCCACAACCGGAGGCAGAGGAGGCACCAGCTGACGCAAACGAGCCCTCAGCCAGCAATCCCTCGTCAAAGGCAAGGCAGATTGGAAAAGGTGAACTTATTGAAGCAGAAAACGACATGCCTGAGGTCAGTTATCTGGTCACGGTTGTTTGGTTGTTTACTGCTTGTGCTTGGGCAATTGCCAGCATGACACCCAATATTTAGGTGTTAACGTTATGTCATATACATGGCGCAGATACGACGCTGTATCTGAAACTTAACATCTATCTTTATGCACAAATTTTAACCTTAGCAAGATCTCCGTAAGTATACAGGAATCCTCATGTAAAAGAGGTCCCCTTTGCTCTTGTAGTACTCATCTGAGGAGGAGGAAGAGGACATAATCGCGACTGCCCTGGCCCAACTCCAAAAGAAGGAGAAACTGGGTGCGGTTGACCACAGTCGAATCCACTACCCACCCTTCAAGAAAAACTTTTACGTCGAAGTGCCCGAAATCGCTAAGATGAGCAAGGATGCTGTGAAAAAGTACCGAGCTTCGCTGGAGGCTCTGCGAGTTCGGGGTAAGGACTGTCCGAAACCGGTGAAAACTTGGGTGCAAGCCGGCGTGAGCTCCAGACTTCTCGCCTGTCTAAAGAAGTAAGTGCGATGATTGTAATGATGGTGTTTGATGGTTCTTGAAATTTAACGAGTGGATTCTTTGAGGGTGACCTTTGTTCGCCTCTCTCCTATTGCCAGGAGCCCATACGTTTGTTTTTTATCCGAAATTTGTTAGTCCTCGGAATAAATAGCCTGACTGACGCATAGTGGTAATGAGGTAGCTACTGCACCAGGAAGCTGTAAGTCGCACCAGTCTTCTCACATTTAGTGCGGTGCAACGTTCTATGGGCGACGGAAACCATTTATATTCGATTTTCTCAGATCTATACCTCTTTGCAGGGCCGAAACTCTCCGACTCATGATTGGAGAGGTGCTGCACGAGCAATGGCACACACGTCCTCAGTAATAGCAATAATCGTCGGCAGCGTCCTGGCACAATCACTTGCATCATCATCATCATCATCATCATCATCATCATCATCATCATCATCATCATCATCATCATCATCATCATCATCATCATCATCATCATCATCTACGAGTCTAACTCAGACTGCCGACTCCTTGGTTGGGAGTCTGGACTTGCCTGCGAAAATGACACCAAAGGCGTGAGTGGGAAGGGTAGGACGCGGATAAGGGAAGCGACAGGTAGACGGCATGTCATATATTTGGATTATCAACCGCCTTAATCCTAGTTTTTTTTCACTAATACTCTATACCTACCTGCCCTCCGGCGGTCTGCTCCAATCCCAAATGCCCTTGTGAGCTGCGGGTTGGGCCATCGCGACTTTGAGACTGGAATGGGCTAATGCTGCAACTCTTGCCTAAATGGGGGAGCTTTTATCTCCAATCCCGTTTGACTGGGATGCTTCTAACTGTGGGATTGTTTGGCTTAGTTCAGTCCAGTTCAATTTTATTAAGGGAAATACAGGCGAGCGCCTTTGAACTCCCTATTGGTTACAAGTCGTTGGACAAAAACGCTGATAAATGGAAAGTTACACATGTACTGTTTATGTCCTCCAGTAGAGGTTCCATCCGACAGCATTACGCAGGTTTTTAACTTCAAAGGTCCTACGACACTATTTTTATGTTCTTGCGGCAAATGCAAACACCTGATTGTGACTGACTAAACAGAGTATCCGATTTTAGCCTGTGATGATACTTATCAACAGCCGAGCAACAATTTTTCCTCAGAACCATCGTTTTTTGTAAAGGAAGCGTTTTCCAGAATGGACACAAGACCCCTCGAGCTAAGCAAGCGATGTCTTATGAAATTATTCTTTCCGACTCATTCAATCCCATTTATTTCATTTTACAATATCCCACGCAATCGTCCTCCTAAACGTCCTCAATCACCTGCTATGGTTGATTGGAAATTTCCCCATTTCTAGCCAAACTAGCTTGTTAACTCCACCCCCCCCTCCCTTCCCAGTTCATTCCCCATCCCGATATGCCTTTGCATGCACGCTTTAGGGCTGGCTTCGAGAAGCCAACGCCAATTCAGTGTCAGGCGCTGCCGGTAATAATGTCGGGTCGGGATATGATTGGCATTGCAAAGACGGGCAGTGGCAAGACCCTCGCCTTCCTGGTTCCTCTGATGCGCCACCTGGAGCATCAAACACCCCTTGGGCCTGGCGACGGGCCAATAGCCATTCTTCTCACTCCAACTCGTGAGCTGGCTCTTCAAACTTACAAGGAGGCGCGGCGGTTGGGTAACGCCTGCGGTTTCCGCATCGCATGCGTGTACGGTGGTACAGGCATTAGTGAGCAGATTGCGGAGCTAAAACGTGGCGCTGAGGTAATCGTCTGCACTCCGGGACGCATGATTGATATGCTGGCTGCCAATGGTGGTGAGTCTCACTCTCACTAAAATACCCTTATCCTCTACTGCTTTTTCAGTGCCCTCTTCTCTCCTTAGTTTATCTAGTACTTTATCAAACTAAAGTACTATCAATTCCTCCGCGGTTGTATGTCAAGTGTGATCTTACGAAGCACCTTCATGCCTGTATGTTTCGTAAAACTACGATTTCTCCTTTCTTATGCAGGACGAGTGACTAATCTGCGTCGGTGTACCTACGTGGTGCTTGATGAAGCGGACCGTATGTTCGACCTGGGCTTTGAACCGCAGGTCATGCGTATTGTCGAGAATTGTCGCCCCGACCGGCAGACGGTGATGTTCTCGGCCACCTTCCCTCGGCAGATGGAGGTGCTGGCCAGGAAAGCCCTTACCAATCCCATCGAAGTCCAAGTCGGTGGACGGTCTGTAGTCTGCAGTGATATCACCCAGAAAGTTGTAAGTCCGCCATCCTCCCCGTTTGTAGCTGCAACTTCTTGCACGAGCCTTAATGCCCTTGTCTTGTGGCTTCCTTTCCTCTAGTGGGTCCTTCAGTCTGAAGAGGACAAAGTTTTGAAGCTGCTGGAACTTCTAGGCATTTATCAGGAGCAGGGTAGTGTGCTGGTTTTCGTGGAGAAGCAAGAGAGCGCGGACGAATTGATGCGTGTTCTGATGAACTTCGGTTACCCATGCCTCTCGCTGCATGGTGGCATCGATCAGTACGACCGTGACTCTGTCATAACGGACTTCAAGCGCGGAAATATTCGCCTGCTTATCGCCACCTCGGTGGCTGCGCGTGGTCTCGATGTGTTGGATCTCGTCCTGGTAGTGAACTATGACTGTCCCAACCACTACGAGGACTACGTGCATCGTTGCGGGTGAGTAAATGTGTAAAGTAATGTGTACTGATCGTATATAAGTAGGCAGTTAGTGCTCTATTGATTGAAGCGACTGTTCGGTCTGGTCCGTTTTAAACGCTCTCTGCCAACATACGAATTGCTTTATGTTGCCCAACATAACTGCCGTCATACAATGGGTGCCTGAAGGGTACGTTATGTGGATTTCTAAATCGGTTATTTCCCTCTACTCCCTGTTGTTATAAAAGGCATACCCTCCTCATTCAAAACCGCGGTCAATTACAACTACTTCCGACCTTAGTTGTCTCGGTATTTTGACGTTGTTAGTGACATTTTCGTTGTTCTTTTGGAGTAAGTCCAGTAGCAAAGTTCAGTTGTATTGATTAAGCTGACTTTCACAACAGGCAATCAGTTTCTTTGCTGACGTTGAAAGCAATCGGAAAAGTGTTATTGTGCTCCTATCACCACTACCCGTCCTCTTTGATTATAAGTAATTCTCCAGTGCTTAACGTTTGATTGATGTAAATAAATTGGTAATATTTAAGTACTTAGGTGTTTGTGTCGTTTTTTGCTTCTTCGCATGCACGACCTGTTTCACGAAACTATCATTCCTGTGCCGAACAACTAGTGGAAGTGATTTCCCGACTATGTGACAATGCCTGCAGCCGATGCTACTCCGTCTCTGCCATTTCGATTACTATGCGTTTGCCCCCGTTCTCCTGTTTCTGTTGAGCAATTTTTAGTAATTGAGTACCTTAACTTGTCTAGACGGACTGGCCGGGCCGGACGTAAGGGGTACGCACACACCTTTATTACTCCCGACCAGGAGAGGAATGCAGGCGACTTGGTGAAAGCTTTCAGCCTGAGTGGTCAGCCAGTGCCCGAGGATATCTACCTTCTTTATGAGGGCTATAAGGAGCGCATGATGATGGTGAGTCGTATCAACTCCCGTCTTATTTTGCTGCATCTGGAACTCGGACCATTTCTCTTTGTTTTAGTACTCCGATTTTATTCGATCACAACAAGCAAAAAATGGCCACTTTCTTTTGGCGTTACGATCAAAAATGCGTTCTTTTAGACGTCTGGTTTCCCTGACCAAAGAAGCTCGAAATAGAGTAGCACCGAACACGAACAAGTGGTCACTTCCCAGTTTGTAAAGGGCCCTAGCATACAATGGTGGCTTGTTGGTAATAGCTACCGTCACATTCGGAGTTGGTTTGCCATGAAGGGCCAAACGAATTAGTATTTCCCCATCGCTGTATGAAAAGTGTGCTATCTTCCTGACAGAGTCTGGCAGGTGACAAGATACTAATGAATCTCGGCTCTACGATCGTGCTAACCCATCAGTTAGGTTTAATCTGTCGACTATGCACGCATATTGGTCCTTGTGGTTGCAGTCCTTATTACAATTGTGGTTGAATAAAAAAGGTATGAATAATCCGAGAACGGCCTCACTCCTTCTTTCTCGGTCATTCCATCGTCTTTATCATCTGCCACTAGTCTACATATGCAACCTATCTGCTGATGCCGGGTTGGAAAGGGATTTGAGGTACCTTGTATTATGCCAAGTCTCTAAATCAAAAAGCTTATGCTAATGTCTTATCTCGTTCGATGAAGCTCGTGACGCCATAAGAAAGCTACGTAAGCATTATTTTAATTGGAGAAGATAGCTTAGCGGAACCTGAATACAAATAAGCATGAGACATCACTTCGAGTCATTTAAGGCACTGAGCTATGCTGGCCTCGCGTTCGGTGGTTTTCTGACTCCAGAAAAACAGGCATCTACGTAAGACATTTATTTTCAGTTCTTTTCGAGGTTATCAAAAGTTAAATGCTTTTGGCAGTAAACACGACACTTCTTCCTCACGAGTTTCTTGCAAGAAATATCCCTTTCGAAATATCCCTTCAAAACACGGAGTATTTTGGTTCAAACAATTCAAGTAACTCGGAAGGGGATACCAACAAAGACAAGGGAGGCTACGATGACCATTTTTGGCTTATCAGCCACCGTCAGCCAGCCTTACCCAAACCATAGTTTGCATCGCCCGGTCTTCGACCCGCGCTCTTCGGTCATCTAGCGCATCCATGAAAACCTGTAGCCAATCACCACAAACACGACCACATCAGCACACATCCCCCCATCAATACATACACAACGCGCAAACCTCCGACATCCCACATCGTTGGCACCCCCACGTAAGTGTGCTCTTTGACTCCTTTCTCCATATGACTCATCCACTGCAGGTGAGATGCGAATATTCTGCCGCCTTATGTGTGAAATCGGGACATGTGCGTATGGGGGTCAGGTCGCGTGTGTGGCACGCGCAGACCAACTGTTCTCAGCTCAGTCAGCCACCTCTCCCAATCTTAACACCAGTTGGCTAGCCGACTCCGACAGTCGATTTGTGCACGCGATAGGATAGGGTGGGTGAGGTCGACTCTGAGCGCACAATTCCTCGCTATAAACAATCGGTCGCGCTGGATACAAACACGGTACGCCAAAAGCCGTGGCCTAGAAGGCTGCCAACTGACACATTTACTCAGACCACGCACTCAGCCCGCTTGTGTGTGTGTGTATGTATTCCTAGTGTGTACAGTTGGGGGAGGAAGCAACTCGTGCATGTGGCGCGTCCTGACGGGCTCGCTAGTTCTGCCAGTCACTGCGCCTTCTTCCGGTATCAGGCATCTGACCGGCCCGAACTGGTGCCAGGGGGTGGGAAGAGCGAGTGAGGTCAACTGTCTCAGCTGGAAACAATCCGACGCACTTGAATCTATCACAGTGCACCAAAAACCGTGGCTTGGAAGCATGTCAACTGACAGGATAACTCGGACCTTGCAGTCACTCAAGTGTGGGGTTATATGGAGTGGCTAGTCGACTGGCGGACCGACGGCCAGGCTGCCATGGTTCCTTAATGTGCCTTCAGTGGGATCCGAACCGCTTCCTCTTCTCTTGTCTGAAATCCTGGTCAGTGTACGTTGGGTGTGGTGGTACGCTGTGCCGGTCACCTCCGCCCTCTCCCGCTGCCGACCTTCTTGACACCGGGCTCAGGCGGGGGAGGCGAGAGTGCCGTAGATGCTGCACAAGTATACTACCACTTCAAGATAACTCCCGCGCAAGTCACCGTCCATGCTCTCACCCTGCTGTGGAGCACATGGTGGACATCATCGCTCACGACGGCCGAATGGTCAGTAGGACATACCAAATCTCACTAACGAGCGGAATATCTTACAACAGTAAATGTTTGGATCTTATACTATACCTGTTTTCCAGTAATCCTCCCATCAGGCCTTCTGAACGTCAAATTGTAATGAACGCATTTCGAATTTTCAAATTACAGCACAAATACAAAAATCCTGTCGTCTCTTTTTGTGGAAAATGCTTGATTTTTTGTATGCATAAAAATGGTAGGCCGTGCACTGCTTGACTTATGCTGTTTTCTGGGAGAACCAGTTCCAGACATACTACACCAGTACAACGGAGAGCCAATGAGTCAAAATGCATAAAATTCACTCTGTCTTCTCGTCTTATAGGAGGGTAAAAAGGTTTACGGCGGCTCAGGCTTCCGTGGCAAGGGCTTCCACTTTGACGAAGCTGAGGCACAGTTAGTGAGTGATCGAAAACGCTTTGCCAAGGCCGCACTCGGTATCGAAGATTCGGATGAGGAAGGTGATTCTGCTGCTGTCGACTGGGACTCGAAAATAGAGGACATGTTCGCTACCAAACGCAAAGTCACAGATGTGGCTAAGTCGGGTGCCACTGACCAGCCAGCCACTGCAGCAACAGCGGCACCTGGCCCTGGCGAGGGGTAAGCATTCCATCCTCCACGAGTATTCCTTCTTTTAATCTGCATTAAGGAAATAATTGCTGCTTACAGGAATTAATTGGTGTTTTGGCGGGTTCGAATAATTCATTTGGCCCAGTTGTGAAACACTCGGCGGCTTCGGTAGGATTATGGAGCCTATGACATCGAGGGCAAGGCTTGAGTACAGCCAGCGCTCGAATTACCCGATCTACGAGGCCCCATCGGGAGCCGTGGGATTTAATCGCAGTTGGGTCAAGTTACCCGCCCAACCTACTGCAACGTATGGAATCCACCAAATGTGATATAGTAAGCTGGCTGTCCAAGCAGGAGTTCCTAAGCGATCCATCTGGAATCCACCAGATGACTGCCAGGCTAAATTACCTAATTATTTTTTGGCAGATTTGAATCATTCATTTGATCCGATTGTAAAAAACTCAGCGGCCTCAGCGAGATTAATTTGTTGAGCCGGTTAGTCATCTGGCGGATTGTAGATGGGTTACTTAGGAAATCCTGCTTGAACCGTCAGCCTAATGTATCAGATTTTGTGGATTTCAGACGTTGGAGCAGGCTGGGCGGTTAATGTGACCCAAAATTGACGTGACTAAACTTAAGTCATCGGGTGGGATCTCGTAACTCAGGTGACCAGAGCGCTAACTGTACTCAAGCCTTGCCCTCGCTGTCTTGGGTCCAAATCTCACCAAGACCGCCGAGTTTTCAACAATAAGGTCAAATGAGCTCACAGGAATCTCAGTCCTTCGGCATATTGCACTGGAATTAACACAACTGGTTTGCTGACAGTCGTATGTTGAATACCTTGCCTTGACAGCTTGAGCCCCGCTGTGATTGCACAACTTGCCCTGGCTCGCCAGAAGGCCGCGCAGGTCGCCTTGAAGGGTCTTGGTAATCCAACCAGTGGCACGGCTGTGAATACTAGCCGCAATCTCGCAGAACAGGCAGCAGAACGTCTGCACGCAAAACTCGGCTACTCAAAGCAGCAGGAAGAGGAAACAACACCTGCCGGCAGCAGTAGCAGTGGTGCGCCCAGCGACTACATACGAAGGTTAGTCGGCAGTGTCGCTTCTTTCATATGTCTTAACTAGTGCCCACCTCTCAGCACTACACAGTCCTGTATGTATTTTAAGGTACGAGGAAGAATTGGAGATCAACGACTTTCCGCAAAACGTGCGTTGGCGCATAACTGGCCGAGAAATGCTGGTGCACCTGAACGAGTATTGTGACGTCGGTGTATCTGTTCGCGGGATTTACATCCCTACGGGAAAAGCCAAGAGTGCCGTCCCAGAGTCCTCTGACGAACGCCCTCTCTATCTCTGTTTGGAGTCAACCAGTGAACGCAACATACAGCTTGCTAAGAAAGAAATTATGCGTATAATAAAGGAAGAGTTACTGAAATTGGTAGGTTGTTTTCTCTTTCATCCACTTCCTCCAACCCTCCTGTGCCGTACTCCTTCGCGCTGTCTGTCAGTAGATCATAAGTCAATCATTCAGCCAGCGTCCCGTGTCTGTCACCTCTTTCGAATAATTCTCAACCACAGCTTATTCAGGCTCATCTGCCAGTCTGGTTGAAATAATCCTTCTTTTGCTATTTTCTTTACAGCAATCCAGTGGAAACCTCAACCGCGGTCGCTACAAAGTTGTCTGATTTTCTGCTATTTCGCAGTTATTTTTACTTGTATAATAAATGCTTCTTACTACATTAACACCTTTTCCGACGTGTCCTCGGCGGTTTTTTCAAAATCGCCATGTCTCCCTCTGTGAAGAGCCTTAACGCATGGTTTGCCGACATTTGTCCTCTGGAATAATTTACACCCGCCCTGGTTCAGTAAGGAAGAGCTGGCTGATGTTATTTTTATGATCTCATCCTGCTCTCTGGCCTGTTGAGCCTGTTTGTTCAATAACCGAGTCGACCTCACTTGCGATACCAAGCTGCGCTTTGTGGAACAGGCTGACGCTTGTTCAAGAAAGCTGTCTGCACCGATCGGCTGCGGCGCTATGTGGTTCCGAAAGGCACGACCTTCAATGTGCTCATGGCTCCTCCTCTGGGTCTAGGTGGTTTCTCCCCTTTCGCAAATTTGCTGTTACTGGTCATGGGCAACCGAGAGTCGGCGCCTTTTTAGTTTTCCTTTTGAAAGGAATATTTTTTATCTCACTCGTAAAGACCTGGGTGATGGCTCTATCGTAGCCGACTTAATAGCACCTGTCCAACTCCCAAGAGCTCCCAACATCTCGGTTTACTGTTTCTCCGCGTTATCCGTAGGTTCTTTATAGACAATCGGCTTGGAACTGGCATAACTGTTTCTGCAGCACCAGTTTGCCAACTGATGTCTTCTTATTTCAGAGGACTTACGACGTTATATGAAGGGCCTGCTTCCTCCCAATGACTTGGTGCCCAGACCACTGGGTGGGGCGCAAACTCGTCACCCGATGTGAATGTCCAAGAACTTTACATTTGGTCGTATTCGCTAGTTTACAGGTTTTGCAGCTGCTGTTGAAATCATTTACTACCTTTAGCCTCCTGACCCGTTAAATATCCAAAAATGCGGCCCTCGTCGCCAGTGTTTGCACCTGGTACGCAGGAGGATCAGTGAATTGAGGGCTTTTCTCCACTACTATAGTCTCTGGGATGCCCGCTGATAAGTAGGACACCATAACCACCATCTAGGAGTCCCGCAATGCTCCAGTCATGTGTAAAAATCGTCTGGTCGTACCCCTCCCAGTTCTGAAATGGGACGCAGGCTGCCTATTCAGGACTGGGTCCACGAGTTTTTGGTCGAGATGGTGTTTAGGACGCGCTTAAGCACGCAAAACTCTCCTTTTATCGTGCCACTGATCTTCGTTGAGTGAGACACCAGTCACCTTCGGGGCTGTCATTGTCAACAGTGGGGAACTCCAAATCAAGGGACTCAACTTTCCTTGATCAGGCCGTTATGGAAGAGACACTTTGATGATGACTACGGCGGCAACTTCCAATTTCGGCGCTAGGGCCTAACGTCCCCCATTGGTGCAACGAAGCCTATACGGGCTTTCGATTGAGAGGGGAGGGAATTTCTACCCGTCCTGGGTGGCTATAACTTGCTGCCTACTTCTGCCTATCCGACTGGGCCCAATCGCCTTGACCCGGGCCAGCTGCTGGTATGAGGGAGGAGAAAACATGTGAGGCCGTTCCAGTCAGGATTCAGCACTTAGTTCCCTACTTATAGGCAGTTGCACGCGCTTTTGGCCTATCATAAGGCGATACCAGGCGTGGATTGCAAGACCACCTGACGGATCGGGGTCAGGCTGCAATGGTTCCTTAATGACAGTTCGACCGTCGATTTCGACGATGTCCACCGTGTGCCCCACATCAAGTGGGAGCAGGGACGGTGACTTGCGCAGGGGTTTATAGTGCGGGTTGACTTGCGCTGCATCTACCCACACTCTCCTCCTCCCCCGCCTGGGCCCGGTGTCAAGACAGAGTCAAGAAGACCGGAGACGAGGGAGGCCGCAGGTGGATGGCTCGGACGGATCCTCACCTTGGCGTTCCACCACACCCCCTGGTCCACACAACAATAACCAGGATTTCAACCAACACAACAGAGATTTGGAGGCTGGCACAGCTGGTTCCTTAATATGGCCTGTATGACACTCATTTGCGTTAGATTCGAGAGCCGGGGACCAGCAAGCATGAACGAAGTCGTTGAGACTCCTCGGGATACAGGCATGGCAAGCGAGGTATGCGATACGAAAGTCACCACGGCGTACTCGCGAAGGACTGAAAGTTTAAACTATCTTGTTGATCTTTTCACACCGACAGACAGGCCGATAGATTCACTCTTGGCGGACCTTTTCATTGATAAATTATGGAAAATCAACTTGAAAGGATGCATCGGCCTACGCTCGATAAGTGGATTACGCGCTTGCGACCACATCAGATCCAACCTGCCTGAATGTGACAATCCAGTTATTAAACCAAGCCCACATGCAAATTAATTTCGCTTTGGAGGCAGAAGATTCGACCCCACTTTGGATGTTCGACCAAGCAAGCGGCCTTGCGGGACAATCAGTGGAGGTATCTATGGGCGGAAAACATGGTCCGGACGTTACATGAACTCCAGCAGTCCAAGACTCCCCAGCTGGAAATGAAACACTAGTTGCTGGTTGGCCAGTAGTCGGCAGGATGTGCTCACTAGACAGTGCTGAAAGAGAACTAGGGTAGTTCACGACGTACTCAGGCGAAATGGCCGGTCGAGGCGATTTAAGACCAAAATCACTCAGGAAGGCTGGGGAAATGCCCTTCAAAGGGGACGTAAGTGGCGGGGTTTGATAGGAAACAATCTTCTCTGGATTCTTAGGCGTTCTCACCACTGAGTGTTCGAACGCTATTCTGTGCGGTCCCAGTTCTATGACATGAGCGAAAGACGAACTGTCAATTCCGACGGCCTCTGTGTGTATTTATTCCATTACCTATTCGAACAAGTTGATGTTTTGTCGGAAGCGATACATGCCACTGTAAATCACAGAATGTGAAAGAGATACTTAAGTTTTACCCTGGCCATTGAGGGAACACCACTACAACACTTCTAGCAGTCTACGGGATGCCGCAGAACCATTACAAGTCGCTCCGGCGGCACCTACTATTGACAGCGGAAACTATCCGCCCATATTGATCGGTCCTATATGCGCAAAAGAACTCCACACAGACATTAGGCATACTATTGGACCCAGGCAACTAGTCGGATAGGTGGAAGCAAACTGGCGCCGTGGAGGGGGGGGGGGAGGGTAAACCAGATTCCGCCCAAATCACGCCATGAAAACCCGCCAGACGGCCCGCACATATGGTGCCATTCTATACCCCCTCCCCTTTTGCAATGGCCGCCTGGATAATAAATTGCTTTAAACCTGTGCAGGTTTGATAAGAGTTTGTCGAAAACATACATTTACAGAGCACAGCAATATGCAAAAAGCCGGCGAGCGGGTATTGCTTGTAATCACAAATCAGATAACTCTCCAACATCGTGACAAGGAGGCAAGCAGCGAGCAGACGCAAAAATATTCTGGAAAAAAATACGGGGTGTGCGGCTTCCAGGGTTGTATGTGAATAATTCTGTCAACGTTCTTCAGCAAAACGAAGCGATGATGGGTGTGTGGCGAATGGACTGACAACAGGTGGCGGTGTAACGCGCATAAATCCACCAAAAGGCCTCAAAAAGGCCGAGAGACGAGTAATCCAAAAATAGGAAGATTGCATATACAAGGTGTGACAGTGCACAAGTGTAAATTGGAGTGGGTGGGAGAGAGAGGATATGACTAGTCGTGAAAGACGGATCCGGAGAGGACCTCGTCATGGTCCGGCGAATTCTGGAGCGTCTGTTCCTTGTCTACGTCTTCCTCTTCTTCTTCGTCCTCTAAAGGTTCATATTTAGGTGGCTTAACAGCATCTTCCTCTACCTCACCACTTAGGGTCCTTGGGGGTGTAGGGCTACCATCGGTGGGTGGCGAGTCTTCAACCAATCGAGAGAGAGGCGGTTGGGAAGACAAGTGTGACAACGAACCCCACTCTGTCGCCTGCATAGTCGTCGATGCTTCGAAAACATTTTCCTCGGAAGCAGTCATTTGCCTGGCCATGCGGGCACCCGGCGTCTCAGAAGCGTTTAGATTGGCCAGTGAGGCACTGTAAACACGCCGGCTTCTCAACGTTGAGGAGGAAGAGGTAGTGAAGGGGGTAGGCCCAGCGGTGGGACTGGGGAAGGTCTCCAACTTCGGTACAAGGGAATTTCGTCGCACTCTGCGAGCGGGGTTGAAGAAATCGCAGTAGCAGCACTTGAAGGCTGGAGAGAAAAAAACTTAAAGTGCAAACGCGCAACACGTGAAACAAGAACAGCACACATGGACAAGGCAGCTTGTGACCAATGCACGCGCAAAAACTCACAGGATTGAGCAGATAGTAAAGAGTTACCGGTAAAGTCGAGGGGCACTGGAATGACTAGTCCCGGCTTATTTGCCGTTATCATTTGGAGATATTCCAACCCTAAGCCAGAAAATTGACATTTGGCCCCAAGGTCCGTAGACTATTGGCAACTTTAAGCATAAAGCTTTCCCACTTAACCTACGGACGCATCCTATCCGCCGGGACAGGGAGTGTCCCAAGTAACACGAGAGTTTCGCTTACCGATGTGGTCTAGTTGTAGGATGAAATTCGGCATTTTCAGTTTATCTTGGAGTTCCAAATCTAGCGCCAACACAGGTGACCGCATGATCGGCAATCGAGAAGTGTGGTCAAAAGAGGCAGTAGACACTGAAATGGCTGTTTCTGGCCTTTTCGCCGTTATCAACCAATGGCAACCCAACTCCAGATGGGAGCGACCTGGTGCCCGGATCTTCCTTTTGACAAGTATACTGTGCTGGACACAGCGGGCACACCTTGGTAACCGCTTCGACTAGCGAGCGAAACCGGACTAGCGTTAGTTGGTGTCTCCCTACGCGACTAACACGTGCAGTCGGGTTCAGCTAAGTAGGGAAAACCTGATCGTGTCACAGGTCGCGTGTAAGGGGCCTTCAATTCAAATTGCCCACTGTGGACGAACTCGTCTCCGGTAGTCTCGCCCTTGGCTTTCCGCTAGCAAATGGTGAGTGCGGGAGGGGGAGCGGCCGATGCTGTCCAAGTTTTCCTCACTACAATTCAATTAACACTAACGTTTCCTCTACCTCCCTGGGGTAGTGGTAATCACCTTCGTATAAAGCGAGCAAAATTTCGGCTACTTACACCAATGAACGAAACACCAAGCAAGCAAATAATCATGTCTGCAATATATGTTAGGGGAAGCCCCATTAAGGGGGTGCTTCAGAGATCAACATCTGCGGTTGGTGGTGCTCAAAGCTACGATTTTACCCCCATCCTGAGTTCTTAATACGCGTTCTAGCTCCAATTCAGAAACGAATAAGACGTTACCGGACAGCCTGACCGCTTCGAGTTGGGCCCTGCAGCGCCATCGATTCTGACGTCAAACTCTCCACAGCTATCGTGATGGCAGCAACCACCATTTTACGTATGATCTAAAGTGGCCACGACAGAACACGGTACTTCGGCAAAGGTCTGAGTGTTTTAGAAGAATGCGGGTTCATCCACATTGAAAATGGGCTTCAACGTATTCTCCATCCTCGACCAAGTTTGTTAACTTGTTACGTGAGCCAGACTACCATGGCACCGCTTTGAACAAGTGGCTTACGGTAACTCACTTCAACCTCTCGAGCAAACTGTTCAATAGTGGAACTCTGCCGATCCTCGATCTCGTCTTCTGGATAGCACTGTGTCGCCAACACTTATAGTAGACTATATGTGCCTCATGAACTCAAAACCTAAATATCAACATGTGGGAGGAAACTATTCGCGAATGTACACTCAGAGGCGATAGTTTTAGTGGAAGTGACAACCGTCCGCTGGAAGAGGGGGATGGTGGTTGATCACAATTTCAACTTGCCTGCAGATGTGCTGCGATCTTATAGAGAAAAGATCAAAATTCTGTGCAGTAATATTCATGTAAGGAAAGCCCAGGACAAACTTTTAAAAAATGCTATGGTGTTCCCGCACGTGACATGTACGTTCCGACGAAATCCTTGTTGCCAACCGAAAACCCTGAGATTAAAATTTTACAGGAACTGCTAGACGACCCACGACACCATCTATAAAATCACTTGCGACCGCAGTATAACACTTACAGAGACTTTGTAACATTTCTCCTGCGTGCAATTACTTGTGCATTATTCCAAAAAGAACATCTTCGGCCTTTTCCAGCAGTCAGCTACAGGAGTGACATTCACAGTCTCCATAGTTGTCCACACATTTAATTTTCCATACGACCTGATGGATACTCTGGCTACGGTGCTGACAACTGTAAACGACACCCGATCCTTCACAAATAATTTCGGAAGTGTCTTCGTTTTCTGTCGAAAAATTAGAAGATTTTAAGAATTCAGGATAAGGTTTCGCGCACTAGTGTCAAACGTCTTTAATGCGCATGGAGTAGCGCGCACCGCCGATTGGGCTGTGTTTGCTTGGTCGACAGTGCGTAAAATCGATATCTCCTCCCGCAGTCAAGTCTGTTCCGAGCGGTTCGCTCACATTATCGATTCCCGACTTAGTCGCTGGGTCGATGGCATGGTGACCAGTAGACCAGTCATCAGTCAAATTCGTCGGGGTGGCAATCAGTTCGCAACGAGTTCTCACTTGGAGGCTGATAATGTGCATCTCAGCAAGGACGAAAAGTAGTCGACCACAGGAGCACTTGGCATGTTCTTTCGCGTTTTCAAAGCCTTGTAGAAGTCCACCATCAGAGATGACAATGTAGCTTACGACAGGGAGGGCGGAGGCGCCACCGGATGTCAACTGTGATAGCTGAGGCTTGGTGCCGTTTTAATAGCCTTGCGGCACCCTGTGGTGTAGAGTTCGTCATTCAGTCTACAGGCTATCAAGCTTTTATGGATCGCTTCACAGCGCCCTCTCTATAATTAACTTCCCAAGGGAGAAGACAGCTGCTGCCGTTTCTTGACGTGCTCGTCACCTGCAGACTTTATGGAAAATTTGGCACTGCCATACACCGAAAGGCTACTGACAGTGTCCAAAATTTTAGATAACACAGCAGACACTTGTTGGAGCACAAGCGTGAATGCGTCAGAAGTCTTTCCAATAAGCAAAAACGCTGTAATGCCCGGGAGAAACAAGTGCAGAAAGTTCGATGACTACAATAGGACTCGCAGGAAACGACATTTGACGAACTTTAATCGATTTCCACCTCCGTACACGCCATTGGGAAAAAAATAGGTGGGTGGCCGGCCGCATTTTAACAGTGTCCGTCATGGATAGGAGACGAGAAAATGCACTTCGCAGTTTCATGTAGGTATCACCTATTGTCCAGAAGCTATCGTGCGTAAACCTCATGCGAATGAAGTATCAACTGGGAGTGGGTGGGCAACCTGACGTAGTATGTTCGAGTCTGTATCGCAACCGCTCCTGCCAGTATGCAGGACAGGCCGAATAACAAATCAGTTTAAGAGCACACTCATAAAATTAGGCCGTTTGAGGGAGTGGACCATTGTCCAAAGTCGCTACCTACTGGCTGGAGGCAGGCCGTGGATTTGACTCCGCAGACACACCTAAAATGGTGCAGTATGACAAAAAGACGGGGCGAGAACTGCTGGAGACCGGGCTCCCTGATAGCGACTCGGTAAACCCGTACCTCACTTTTCTCCCTGCATGTAACGCGCAGTCGGCTTCACCGCGCACACGTGCGTTCCCGATTTAGGACGCTCACGATCGGCATACGGCGGGAGATCTTAAGAAGCGGGAAATGCGTTACCGTCAATATTGATGTTGACAAGCAACTCTCTCTTACAGATACACACTGCTGATCAAAAAGATCTCCCCTTACTTATAGGCATTTGAAAAGAAAAACAAACGTAAGGCGAAAGACGAAGGCCTCCTCAATCCCCTTCCTCAGCATAGTGCACGCAATCTTGACTGATAGCTCGTAACGACGACCCAAGATGTGAATAAACGTCAACTCGACTTTTCAAGATAGTGATAATGTGGTTCATTAAACCGGGTATTAACAGCTTAAATGGGAGACAACAAAGTACATACCCCCAATGCTTTTCAGTGTGGCTATTTGGGGCACGTTCTTGGTTGCCCCTAAAAACGGTCACGCGGTACCAACACAGGGGCCAGGTCGGGGTCCGACAGGCATTATTGGAAAAGCACACCCATAACAAATGCCAACATTGGAGGTGTAGCGACACGCCCAGGTCCAGACCCACGCCGTACCATTTGGGACCCAAATCGGCCCCTATTTTCTTCTTGTGTAAAACCCTGGTCAGTGTACTTTACGGACCAGGGAGTGTGGTGGTAAGCCTAGGTGCGGGTTTTCGCCGTGCCAGCCGCCAATCCCCTCCCTCGCCCGGGTCTTCTTCAGTCCATCATGACCCCGGGCCCAGATGGGGGGAGTACGAGAGTGCGGTAGATGCGGCGCAAGCCGGCTATCATTATAAAGGCAATCACGCGCAAGTCATCGTCCCTACTCTTACTCTGCTGGGGAGCACATGGCAGACGTCGGCAACGACGGCCGACCTGTCGCGTTCTCAGTGGTGGCTACGAAAATAGTGCACGATGACTAATTAACATATCAGAGAAGTGTTTGAGGATAATACGTCGTTCTGAAGTAAAAGTGGAACTTGATGGAACAAATTCTCACAATGGTCGGGAAAGCAAGATGGTTATTTCTGGTTTACTTACCATTGTGAGCTAACTACGTACCAAACTCAGGCCATAGGGTACTGAACTTCGAAACGAAGTCAGCTGCCTCAAAAAATGCCGATGCTCGATGCCACCTTATCAGTGAGGTAAGGAGGGGGCGCTCTAACGCCGGATATACTAACATCAAGGTTCCAAGACATAACCGAGCAAATATACCCAATTCTTAGATTGACAACACCTGGGAGTGGTATGGAGCTCGGTCTTGATTAGGGCTCCCAGTTTATCCAGTTTTACAAAGTAACAGTATAGCTATTCCCGGTCAATACTAGCGTTCTTAATGGCAGTCAACAAAAGGCATCCCTTCCTACATCGAAGGCTCATTAAGCAAGGAAGCTCTAATGGAAACAATTCCATCTAAGTGGCTCCTCAGATTTCAGTTGTATTATGACAGATTGGAGTAAAGTTTTCGAGTAGCTATCGTCTATGTGTAGTTGGCCAATGCGCCCAGATTCTTTGGCCTGCCTTGTTATTAAAACGTGTTAGGTGTGGAAGGAGTAACACAGATTTTGCGAAAGTCTTCTTTATTTTGATTCAAATCACGTGCAGGCTGCTTTGGCGTATCCGGGGAATGATGGTGGCTCTCATCGAGAACGAAAGGTGGGCTATTGAGGCGCACAGGCGTTTCGGACAGTTTGGTTTCCTCTCAATCCACAGATAGGTATAGGGGGCTCTAAGGCTGGTCGGAAGGCTTTGCACAAGCCACAAATAAGTGTATATGACAGGCACAATTAACGAAGCAGGTTAAACCGTAATAAAGACCCTTCGAGCTCCAATTCTTCAGTTACGTTATTGTCTGGTAGTTTTTGCCTAGAAACTGGGGAAACTCCGCACGCCGCTAACCATGTATTATCAGAGTCAGTCTTAGAGGAGCACGATGTTCAAGACAATGATAACTACTAAACTCGACGCCAGAAAACGCAACGAAGTTCGTGTATTCGTAAAACTCAGAGGGAGGGGGATACAGGGCGGAATCTCAAAAAAACAGTGGGCACGATCACAACTTCCTACTTTTACAGCAGAGCCCACTCAACGCGATATAGGCCCATAAACTTTCTGCAAACTGAACGCAGTTGATTTGGAAAGTAAAGGGTCCCAATACATAGCATCAACAGTAGGAGAAATACAGCCAAGTACGAGGTTGCACCCCTCCCCCCCATTTTCTGTTTTCTGTGACTTTGCGTCACTTTCCCAGCCGAGTATTCAGATTTAACGTTAGGATTTCCAGCGAATAATGTAGACAGGACGAAAAATAGGAAGGAGCCGAAAGGCGGGCGAAATAAAAGACAAATTTAGAATCGTATAGTGCGAAATTTATCATCTATAAATTCGACCTATCGATGAACATGTAGCGCATGTACAAAAAGTGGAAAGCTAAAGAGAAGGGTAGGTTAGTAACAATCTCGCTGTGCAGAGTCGTGGGGGAATAAATCACGCCAAATAAACCAAAAGTCCGAGTTCACCTGGCGAGCGCACCGTCTGCTGCAATGGGCAGTCGAAGTGGTTGTCAACCAGTCAACTAATAGCAAGGATCGCTACGGTCCAGAGTTGTCACATGAATTTGCAGCATGGCGCCAATGTCAGCGAGAGCAAGGGGCTTCCAGCCAGGAATCTGACGGGTTAAGACCGTGAACCTTGGGTATGCCATCAAAACACCTCTTACCGACCAAAACGTTTTCTCGCATGACTTATGCCCAGTGTTAACCGAGGGCTTACAAATCTGTGATCTCCTCAGCGATTGCTGGACATACCATTATTCCTAACCCGAGAAGGCAGAGGTATGTGCAATAGATGTGCTATCTCATGAAATGTTAACCGGAAGTCCGAAATATTTTATTGACTACAAAATATTACCTAAGCAGGGTTGTGAAGTCGATTATCGTGCAGCATAATCCTAAGGTGTTTCAGTCAGACTATAAAGTCAGCCTTTGAATGAGCCTCTTCTCAGCCGTCTGCAAAAGCCACATACTGTAAAAATTTGCCACCTAATTATTATTAATTTTTCCCGCCGATTTTCAATGCTCTTATAAATTCAAATATACTGTATAGAAAACATGCACAAAAAATGCTCTTTCTTGCACTCAATTGGTATAAAATTGCGTCTTCTCCAAAATTCCTACTTCACGAGAGAGTATATTTTGATTTTTAAAAACCGTGACACTTGCATTCATGGTTTCCAAACTGCATGTTGCATACATCCCGGCAAAGGAATGTCACGCATTTCTCTACGCTGTCTGGAAGATGTCATATGGGACGCATAAAATTGTGTAAAAGATGTGGGCCATGCTGTATACTTCATGAGAGGCATTAATAAACGTGAATTTGAACTTATAGGGGTATCGGAAATCAAACGGTCAAAAAGAGGCTTACTCAAAAGCCGATCCTGGTGTGAGTGAAACATCTTAGGATTATGCTGCACGATGATTAATTAATGTTACAACCGCACTGAAGTAATCTTTTCGTATCGAAAACATATTTCAGAATTCTGACTAGCATTTAATGAGGTAGCACATCTACTGTATTTTGATCTACACAAGAAGGGAGTCAACTCATTTGCTCCAGTTGCAGGACTTAATATGGGCGACCCAGTTTTCCTGCACCCACTCTTGGAAGAATTTTAGACCCACAGTTTCAGCTGAAGATGGAAATTCACATTTCCATCCGGAAATAAGTTAGATTAGTGAACGCCATGTTACTTCCAACCTTCCAATGCTCAACAGACACGACGAACTCAGTGGCTCGAGTTGACGAAAAGCTCGGATTTGGATTCAGGGTGTGCTGGAAACTAAGGTAGAAGTACCACTTGCTGAAAGTGGCTACTAAGCTAAATATGGCTGCTTCAGTGTCCCCAATTTTTTGGTAGCACCTCCATAGCGCTACTCCAAACCCGATAGTAAAGGAGAGAAAGGAGGCTGTAACGGTAAGTTGAATTTGAACGGTTAATAAAAAATTTTGGAGATTTTGTCCTTACAGATACAAATCAGATAACAAAATAACTAAACGTGCGACAAATGCAAAACGACAGTCAATCATTGCTTTTGTGGTCGAAACAAGGGAAATCGAAGGTTTGTAAGAGTTGAGATCGAGTCATTAGTGTGAATCCATTGACAAATATGCTGGACATGAGTTATGCTCAAAATGAAGCTACAACACTGCAGGTTCCCCTTTTAGGCTATAATACAATCAATGGAAGTCAGCACTCCTGAGGGACAGGTTCAGATAACTGTCCAACGGCCTGATATTTGCTTTACACCAGGGCAAGTCTAAGCAGTGTTGAAAGCGGTCTATTGAATATCCGTAATGAATTGTCTGTCCAGTCAACAGAACGCGGAAGCGAAATGTCTAACCGATTTAAAATCGGAGAAATGGCGTGATTGAACGGTGGACTAAAATGTAGCGAATTTCTTTATGAAATGCTGTTTGGTCTAGTCGAATGTGCGGACAGGCAGAGCTAACCAGAACACGGAGGTAGCCCTACAATTAAATGAGCATATAAGTGAAAGATGTGAATTTGAATAAGAGCAATGTTGGAAGTATTGAAGGACTAACTACAGTATGGAAATGCAAAGTGCTTCTAAGAGCGCAGTGAACAAAGGCGGTTATGGAGAGACGGCAAGTTAGACTTCATTGCTAGGGCAGATTTGCAGAATGGGGAGATTACTGAAGTTAGAATCGTTTGTGCTGTCCTGGATTTGAATGTGAGATTCCTACGACAGTCCAGCTTTGCTTGTGTAGGGTTCTGTCAGTTTTCTACAGTTAGGCGTAAGAGCAGACTGGAGTTGTACATGCTCCTTATTTAATGTTGTATTAACATATTTAACTGACTAATCATACTAAACAGCAGAAGCAAGGAGGATGCCACCCCTAAACTCGCACCATCCTTATATAAAGAGCAAAAATATTTGATAGTGAACCGAAAATTGTAAAAATAATATCAAGAAATTTCCTAAAGGCATCAGTCAGGCATTCCCCGACTGAAAAAACGTAAAACAAGCCAATGACGAGGTAACAAAAGTGCGCTAATTAACTGGGAGGTGCAGATAAACTATCCAAAGAAAAACGCCAGCAAGCTTCTATGACATTAAGAAGCAACTGTAAAAGGAAAAGTGAGCCCGGAAAAAAAAGTAGCATACCCAAAAACTCGAATTCTTCAGCCAAGGCCATTCCATTGTGAGATGCACAGCGACGACAAATAAGGGCATATCTTCGATCGGGTCCATCACCTACGAGGGCATCCAAGACTTTGTCTAGTACTGATCGTTCACGCGGCAAAATTGGGCGGTGACGAACCGGAACATTATTAGGCGTAGGTGGCGGTTTCGGTGGCAGAGAAAACTTACTCGAGTCTAAGGAAGATGATATCGAACCCAAAAATGTTCATTCAGGCATGATTATATGTTCATAACATATTTCAGTAGAAAGATTTCTGTTGGGGGGAAAGGACTGAAATAATGTATTTATGCTCAGTAGTGGGTAAAGAAGGTCACAGGACTCGAAGAAGTGAAGAACACGAGGGTCTGCATCTGCATCGAATTGACACATTGGACTATTCAAATAAAAATCTGCCAACTAGCCAAAGGGGCAATCCGCCTACATTAAGGACAGTATGCAACATAAACAAGTGAATGAGTCGGATAAAAGTGTTTGAAAATTTGATGTCCTACTAGTTGAACCAGTGTTTTGACGTCTGAGAGTTTGTCGTCCAACTTACAGATAATATTGCAGCTAAGAAATGGGAACGAAAGGAATGATATCGCAAATTATATGCATATATGTACGTTGCACGGTTTATCAAAATGACAGCATAAGCATTAGCTAAAAGCCAAGGCACGTGTTTCGCAGTTGTTCTGCCGCTGCATGACGCAACTGCGAGGGGTTCCGCCTATTATTCAGTCCCCCGACGTTGCCTATGTGCTTTCGGGTAGATACTTATGCGATCTTTCGGGCTGGGCTTGCAAAATTTCATTCCGGACGATTTACTACAAACTGCCGCAATAATTTCTGGGATTAAAATGCCGAAACCGCAAAACTGGAGCATATTTATTCATGTATACAGAAGACAAAAGTCAATATAACGTCTGATGTATGGGAGTCTATTTCTGATACGAAATTTAATGGTAAACTGTGGTAACGCACCTTCAGCAACTTTCCTGACTTGAGTTTGTGGTGTTTTCGTTAACGAAACCTGAGGAACAAAGGGCCCTGGTCGGCGGTTTACAACAGACGAATCCCCAGTCTCCTTTTGTTGAAGACCACTACTCGGAATAGGCGTCTGAGAGCTGGGTGTTTGAAAATGGAACGCCTACCATATGCTCGGCCTGGAATATTCCGAGTGGATCAAACCTCCTCAGAAGCTGGTTTGCACGATTGTATGTTTGTGTTTCCATTATCTCGGAAAGCTTTGACCAAAGATAAATAATACGAAACTTCCTACGATTTTTGCCTTTCGTTTTTTAAGATCCTTTAATTTTCTCTCTGAGCTGGTAAACAAGATAAAAAAATCAGCTTACCAGCACTATCCGCACTTCCCAAGTATAGGTAAGTAAAAACATACTTCAGAAGGAGAATTCTAAGAAAATGCCAAGAACTTCAAGCATTCTTACAGGAACGGGTAGACTAGTGCTGATGAGTAAAATAAGACCTTGCCGTAAGTACTCGAAGGTCGAACAAAGAAATATGCCGAGAGCAGTCCTGTTCCATAAAATACAGCCCCAAAGAAAGTAATCCGAAATGCAATCTTCTTGGCACTTGAAATAGATGATACTTTCCTGTTTTCAAGGGCAGCTATATTCTAAAAAGGGTAAGGTAGGTGAGTATGTTCGCCCAAATATGCATACGTCATCGATGTCTTCTAATGTCTCCGAGAAAGACCGTTTTCGGATCTGTTACTGAGAATTAAAACCTATTTAAAATAACCTTTCGGATACTATTTAATATCCCCTTAACCGAAAGCATCATGTCATAGCACAAGCATCCAAGTAAAGTAGCCAATGCCAGAAAAAGAACCCCAGGTCGACTGGTTTAATTTGTCGCCTAATTTCTTGTCAATTAAAAGTCAGCTCACCAGGTCGTATAGGCGTAGTGTAAGCCACTGCTCAGACATATGTCCGGAGATCCATTTTTTCAGGGAAGGATATGTAAATCATTCCGAATGTGTGAGTGGTAGACTAAAACGTGAAAATAGTATTCAGTTTTTTCCAGCGATCTAGGAAGTTATAAATACCAGGCTTAGCATTTGAGGCTTAACAGAAAATGGGAGGAACTGTACAGAGTAACACTACCGACGAAGGCAAGTCTTTGTCGGAAAAGTTACTCTGTCTATACTACGCGCAGTTGTGTGGATACTGGCGGGGCTTTAGAGAGAGCCCCAAGGCACAACGGGACGAGTATGTCCCGTAACAGGATAAGTGAGCGTCAATCTACCACGAGCTGTACAAAGAGGCAAAACGTGCCTTTATTATCAAACGGCGTGATTACACGCAGGAACTCATTTGGCAGGATCAACATACTAGATACCATGGCTACATCCCTGCCTTGGCCACCACCCCACCGACGCATTTTGGCACAAACCTTAGGACGGAACAAGTGCTAGAAGGGATGCCAAAAGTATCGCAATTTATTTTTCAGTGCAGTATATATCACTATCCACATTTATCGCCTCGTAGTTCATTAATCTTTATTCAAATTGAGGGGTCCTTTTGTCTTTCGTGTTTTGCACAGCATATTTCCCACAAAGTAGGAAATACGACATTTGGTTTAGAATTTTTGATCGCCGCGGGACTCACTTTCCCTGAAATTCCAGTTCTCTTGTCACTCTTACAACCTACCAATAGTGTGAATGGGACTGAGACGAGCAAGGTCCACACCATCACAAATTTACAAGGGGATTTCAATAAGAAGAAAAACCCCCTTCTGACCGCTTCTCTGTTAAGCGCTCGACGGGCTCCCTGACTGCACTGAGTTACGAATCGGATCTGAATCGGGCCTTCAGTTTCGATCGGTCGGGTGCGAATCGAATCCGCATCTGTCAAGAGAATCGGTCGCGAATCGGTTCCGACGTTTCGCGACTCAAATTTTCATCAAAACGACGGTCTACTTGTATCCAATATAAGCGACCCAGACACCCCACCACCCCGGTTTTGTCATTTACCGCCCACTATACCGATAACTAATAACAGTTTTGTACTGCAGGAAAGGTAGTCGTCATGAAAAATGCAATAAATTTGTTTCAAATGCAACGTTTTAAAATGTACAAAATTGGACTTTACTGTTGCGTTGACGGCCCCGTCTCGCCATCTCGACCTTGCAAATCCGAAAAATAAACATGTACGATCATCAGGTGCTATCCGAGTTAGGTGAATGAAGTATACTAATAAGTAATTTTAAAAATGCATTGCTTAAAATGGCTGAAATTATGCTGTAAGTTTCATGTCCACGTGAGAACTGTGTTTGGTTTATAAGATTCAAAAACTGCACTAATGCAAATGTGCATTGTGTGATCATAATATTTATCGAGTATAAATATGTATGCCGTGTATGCCTTATAGGCCATGGTAATGATTAATTCACTGTTTGTGTGGGCTTCAATGCCGCGTTTTAATAAGCGGTCATATGCCCGTTTAAATGCATTTTTAAGTGCCCTCTCCAAATGGTGACAATCGGAGCGCTTTTCTCGATTCCAGTGGTCGAAAACCCCTGTTACAGTGAGACTAGCCTTGTCTGCCGAGAATATGAGGGAAAATTACCGTCCAGTGCAATCATTCTCTCGCCGATCGCGCTAAGCCAGCCAGGCACTACTGACAGTCCGCGATCCAGCGCCCGTGGATTTCCTTAATGATGGACATTTAGTCGACTGGGAAACGTGCGTATTTGAGTGTCGATATTGGCAGTGGGCAGGTCTTGAGAACATTTCTTAAGTAGCCTTAAAATTTTAATTTGCAATGCACTGGTAGGGTAATAGGAATGATCTTCTAAGTTATCGTAATCAACATGCATTCCTGCAACGTTCCCAGATGCATCCCGAACGATGTTGCGGATGCAAGCTAACTTACCGCTGGCTACGTCTGGTCCGTCACTGGGTTTCGTTCCGATAAGTTGGTTATTTATGTACGAGGAAGAATATCCCGCATGACCGCTTCCCCTGTGTAAAGTAGAATCTGACGCAATAAATAATAATTTTTATTTAAGGCCCCTGAGGGTCCTATCATAGCAAGTAAAAAAACCTTTACATTAATTTTGGAATTGTAGACGACGTATACAGAATTTATACAAAACTTAATTCGTAGTAACTGAATAAGTACTGTGTTGCGAAGAATGTTGAGCGTGCAGTGAAAAAAACTCCTAAAATAAACAAAATGAGTATGATTGGATTAGAACTATAGGAGAAAAAACTCTCGCTTCTTAATATATAAAGAGCAGGCAGGACCGGCCTCTATATGGAATTGTGTGACGCATTTCATGAAGGGGTAAGTAGGCGGGTCAGGCAGGACTGGCCTGTATGTGGCCTTGAGTAAACGGTTCGAAACGGGCATGATCAAGGTAGAATTCATATGCCGGATGAGGCCATTCATGTCAAATGGGCGAACTTAAAACCAATCTCGAGGCGATAGGAACCCAGATGCGATCGGTTACATTCAGCCGAGTCCATCCGAAGGGGGGGGAGGCAAGGGAGATGCGACCAGACTATTAGAATATTGCGAAAACGGAAGGCTTCTCCAAGAGCGTCGATAGAGCGCATTCTATGAGAGCACGATGCATGAACTGAAAAATTGGAAAAATTTCTGGTGAGGGATCCTAGGAGGCGATAAGACTCACAAAAGAAGGCAATGTGAGCAGATACGGAAAGTTAATGGCGGCGTCCTAAATTCCCGACGGCCCTTTCTCAGTGTCATAGAGAAAAATGTCCAGGATGGACGAGGAAAATAAAAGTTTAATCGAGTAAGTATTCACATAAAGGCGCAGCCTTCTCTCAAAAGTGTGTAGATTATCTGAAAATCGTCTATGTATTGGAAGGTTATTCCAGAAGAAAGTATATCTGGAAGCGAAAAAAAGAGAGCGCTTTAGGGTGGAGGAAGCGGGAGGAGCTATAATCAGGGAAGAGTTGCGAAGATTATATGGGCGAATACTAGGTGTAAGTGCAGAAGTCAGACCAAGATTTGAATTATTATTTATGCGAAAGAGGAGACAGAAGCCAGCTTCTAGTCTTCGAACCCATAAAAAGTTTAGGTTAATTATCTGGTATCTGAGTAGGAGATATTTGGATGTTCCTTATCTAAAGGTTTTTTTAGTAAAACGTCTATGAGCATTTTCAATTTTTAAACGACTAGCCTCGTTCATCAAACCAAAGAATGGGCAACAATTCTCTTGAATGGGAAGTACAAACGTTCGATAGAGCCTTGATTTAATTTCTGGAAGATAGAAATTGTAAGAAATAAAGGCACATGTCTGGGCAGCTTTAGCTGTAATTCTGTCAGCGGTTGGCGAGAGATGAAGATTATTAGTGTAGCTTAAACCAAAATCCTTGATGGTGGTACATTCAGTCTTAGGTGTTCCTTGAAAGACCACTGGTTGGGGTGGACTCTCAGGTCCTAAACACATATAACGACATTTAGACGGAGAGAATTCCATTAGGCATTTTGAGCTCCAAGCTGAGAGAGCAAGCAAGTCAGCTTGGATTTGCTGCAGGCCATGAAGGCTAGAAGATTTATTGAAAGAATATACACATTTGAGCTCATCAGCATAAATAAATAATTGAGAATATTTAACTGCCGCCGAGATATCATTTATGTAAATCAGGAACAAAAGAGGACCTGAAACGGTGCCTTATAAGACATCATTTACAATAGGGCTTTCAGTGGAAAGTGAAGATCCCAATAAATTTTTTGTTTAAGATTATACAGGTATGACTTGATTAAGTCTATTAGGGGAATGCGAATTCCCGGAGTTAGTATTTAACTAAGAGTCTTTGTAGAATTCCTTGCCAGACGAGTGACGCGTATAAGCAAAAACAGATTTCGGTGTTTATATGGTACTATTGATAGAATAAAGGGCAGCGGCCAAACAGGCGGCCACAGGTTTACCTCTCCCTTACCTTTCCTACTGAACAAACTTGGTAGAGTTGAGGAGGAAGGATTCCCCTTCTACCGTTACCCAGCATTCACGCCCAATACAAGTCTCTCCTACCACCTCCAACGTCGCCTCCGGCACTTGCATCTCCCATTTTGCTTGGTCGAGCCCGAAACGACCACCACTTTCAGATTACGGTCAGTTTACGTCCATCCCACGCATTCCACAGTTCACCTTAGGGAGGCGCCAGCTTTTCCCCTTTCGTCCGTCAGACTATAACTTGCGGTGGCAGTTTACTAGCGCTTCCGCCTTGGCCTCCCCTTCCAGGCGCACACATGATCACCTAACACTTCCTCACAATCTTCAGTACCAACCACCTCCCTTCCCCCCATTGGCTTACAACCTACGTCCTGCACACACACGCCTTCCACTCGAAGCAGCAGCTGCCGCAGGCTTCCGACTCTTAACCTACTGCGGTATTTACATACACTTCTA